TGGGTGGATGGATGGATGGATGCATGCATGCATGCATGCATGGATATGGATGGATGGATTGATGGATTGATGGATGGATGGATATGGATGCATGCATGCATGCATGGATATTGATATCGATATCAACTTTATTTAGACACGAAAGCTCTATCAAACCTAAGTACAATGATATAAAAAATTTTATACAAAAGAACTTAACTTTGGTCTACCTAGAGGCCGTGTAGAATATAACAGTAAAAATATAAATACTATTTACACATTATATTGACTAGCATGACTAGCATGAATGAATCCATAGATGGATGAAAGAAGATGTATTAACCCAGTGTAATCTATTTTTATTTCCAGAGTTGAGGGAAGCCTTTATTATGTTCGATCAAGATGGCAGCGGGTTTATCTGCAGTAAGGAATTAAACTCGATCATGAGGGCGTTAGGCATGAACCCAACAGAAGACGAACTACAAGATATGATCAACGAGGTTGACTTTGACGGTAAGTACCGGACCCCCCCCCCCTCCCCTCCCTCCCTTTTGACTAGAACAATTTATAACTAGGAGGACACGACACTAGAGAAAAACGTTTGTGCACTTCAGCACGTTTTCTAAGAGTTTTTGAAGAGTTTGAGTCGGGGTTTGAGTGAGAAAATATATGTTTGCTTTTTCCAAGTATGCAAAAACGTTCGAGAGTATACTTTTGTCAGAAAAAGATACTATATTAACAAACACAATATGAAAGAATTAGCCTTAAGTATCAAACATGGACACTAAGTTTTGGCATTTTGTGAAGTCCAATTTATCAGTCATGTTTGAAAGTCAAATTTACACATGATTTGACTAATTTGCATACGGATTCAGAGCACGCGCAGACGTTTTTCACTCGTGTCAGAGGACACCAGTTTCGAATTCGATCGTTGATCTCCAAAAAAAAAAAATGTTAGCCAATCAGAATCGAGAACATTTGCAAAACTGAGACGTCACTTTTCCTCTTGAAATTATGAAAAAAAGCAATGTTGCTTATAAGAGGTTAATAACAGTAACTCCACAATAACTAATGAGCTTTATATTTTTGTTGTAATGGTAGACAGTCAGGTTTTCATTTTTGGCTGGTCATTTTTCACAGGCCTGGTTACACCTCAGTTTTGCAGTGACACGACATTTCTACGTCGCTATTTCCGAGATCAGTTGATTACCATTTAATATCATCTAGAATAACTTGAAACTAAAGACCTGGATTCGTTCACCTCATTTAAAAATAAAAGCAAGGTTATTGAAATATTACCATATTTTCTGTTTCTTCTTTTTCCCTTCTTTCTTTCTACTTTTTGTTAATTGACTGGCAAATCCGGCAACTTTCTCATCACGAAGGCCGGGAAAATCTGATAAACTTTACAGCGCTCGATCTATTATCTATTATATATTGAGATATCGATTTTCAAACTTCTATATTAAAACAAGTAAAACAAGTTCAACGCACAGGTTCGTCATATGGCGCGCGGAATGGTTCAAAACCGTGTCATTTCGATTGTAATAATTGAATATTTGTTTGTCAATTGCGTCGGCTTTGCTTGAATGTGTACACTACTCTTATCAGTATTGCATTACATAAGCACGCTTCATATGTTTACTTTGTCAATCAAATAAAAAATAGTTCAATTGCAAAAATTCGGTCGATTTACAAAAGCACTGTCAATCACCAAACTCGGTCAATAAACTCGGTCAATAAACTCTGTCAATCACCAAAACTCGGTCAATTAACTCTGTCAATCATCAAAACTTGGTCAATTACAAAAACTCTGTTGAATGATTCAGCAAAAAAAAAAAAAAAAAAAATTCTAAAACCTTTCTACCCACTACACAAGGCTTTGCAAGGCACGGGGATATGACTTAACCATAGTTTATGACTCAACTATTAATTAACTTCTGTCGCAAGTCTTAGGAGAAGGTAGACCGAGCTGAATACTGCTTATAACTGTCATAACTCGCATGGGGAGCTTTTAACGATGCTGACATCTCAGACTTTAACGTAGAAAATGACATACACCTATTTCAAAAAACGCTGTCGGTCGCAGATCTGAAATCTGAGAAAAGGAATTGTGGGTTCAGCTGTAAATTGTTTGTGGTTTTAATTAGTAGTTCGCAAAAAGTTAATATCTTGATAAACTAACTTTGAGCGATGACCTGCGCTGGCAAACTATCTGGGTAAGTGTATATTGAATTTTGAACGAGAAAACACTCAGTCCCACACAATTCTAATCGGTCTCAGATTTCTGATTTCAGATATCCAACCGACAAGGTTTTTTGAAATAGGTGTATACTCTCAATGAAGCAACTATCTTGAATCAACCTCAATCAATTTGTGCAACAAATATTCTCTATATTTTTTCTTAAATTTATTCTCTTTCAAGCAATAATGCGAAATGATTATATAGTACTATAAACAATACTTTAAAAATGTCAATGTCATAGTCTTTTGATGGTGTGAGACACAAAACTAGTACGGCATTTCGTGACTAAGTCTTTAGGTAAACATTAGAGTGTGTGACGCAAATGTTCATGTAATCAGATAGTAGTTTTGTAACCAGATATATAGATATTGATATTCTTACACACATGTACTGAGCATAGATCTCAAAGAAAGAAGAAGCAAATATATAAAGTTCCAGCAAAAATCGTGTCAACTATTAGTTCAAAGGGGATCAAAAGTACCGTGTGTAACAATGGCTTTTATGATCGGAGCTTTGTAAGAAAATTCCGGATGTGTCGCAGGCTAGTGTGAGGGGAGATGATGTTTTGAAAGCTCTCAAATTGGACTCGCCTTATCTATAAATTCCGAATTGTACGAGAATATTGTGCGGTTTTTTGTTTATAATACACGCAACAAAATTGAGGAATTTAATTGCCCTATTTCACTATGACGTCACTGCTTGTTTATGTGGGGGATAGAATCGCCAAATCCAATAGAAAATTCAACGAAATTTGCTCCTAGCGAAACAGTTTAATCTAAAATGGCCTGGTTTTCAGATATAATATGTGTTAATATGTACTAAAAAATATTCTGAGAGTTTGCTGGCTATTCTACTTCTTTTCGTGGATTTGATACGGATTTTAGAACAATTTTCGGTGAATTTGCGTTGAATAGACCCCTTCATAACTCCCTGCGCTATCTTGAAAGGTAGCCGTGCCTTTGCATCGAAGCGAGACGAACGGCGAGCTTGCAATGATAGAGACATGTGAATAATTGTTCAAGGTGTTAAAAAAGGTCTCTATCATTGCAAGCTCATCGTTCGTCTCGCTTCGATGCAAAGGCACGGCTACCTTTCAAGTTGGCGCAGGGAACTGTGAAGGGGACTATTGACACCCTCCGACGACCATGATCCTTTGCGTTTAAACAATAGATTGTTTTGATTTGACGTCATAGTGAAATAGGGTAATTGGGACTCTACAGAGTACAATTTGGGATTTCATTGTACTCCTCTTGTCCGATCAGAATCGAGTACTTTTGTTGAGTGTATTATAAAGTAGAAAATAGTTTCTCAAAATCCAAATCACTTTCCATCTTATTTGGTCTTCTTTGCTTTTAGCCTGATGGCAAAAGACATATGACACTTGCTAATGTTACGTAATCGATAGAGTTTTGGCGATTGATCAGAGTTTGTTTTGCTGAACCGACAGAGTTTCTTTAATGATTCGACAAAGTTTTACGCGTGATAATTGACAAGACATATGACATGTGCTAATGTTACGTAATCGACAGAGTTTTAGCAATTGACCTCGTTTTTTGCTGAATCGACAGAGTTTTACGCGTGATAATTGAGATTCGACCGCAATTTTTCGTGGTCATCCGAACAAAGGCGAAGGTCTAACTTTTTACAGATAGTTTTAGACCAATGGTAACTCCTTCTGCTAAGATATTTCATGACCCTCAGTGCTGGTCCGGCCGCTGAGCCTTAAACCTACGAAACTGAGATAACATGAACCAGGAGGCGGTAAAAACAAGACAACAACTGAATAAATGGAATTTAAGTTGCTTTTTTCCCCTGAAAATGCAGCAGGCTTGAGTGTATGCTTTTCAAGTTTGTCTTGTTTTGCTTCTGTCTTTTCTGGTTTTAAAGAAAATCTTTCGAGGCGGCGAAAGAATCTATTCACCTTAATCGAGCCTGGAGTTTTCCACTCCTACTAATACTTGGCCCGGTTCCGCTTTTGATAAGTGTTCCAACACACTCCGCCTTGATCAAAGTCCGAGGAAGCGATGGTAAAACTGTCTATATATTTTGAAGCTCGTGAGAATTGAACTCAAACTACTCGCTCTGGCTAAGCGACTGACCATTAAGATCGAGGACTATTAACTATGAACTTTCGATCCAAAAGACGAAGATCTTCTCCTAAGATTTCCAGTAAGTTCATGGTGTTGAGTCGTTTATTTATATAGAAATATAAGTTACCATATTATATCGAAAATCCGCACGTACAAGCGGTTCATGAGAATTACGTTGTTTTGTAACTTGTGAACGGCTTCACTCAAGGAAAGAAAATCTTTGTCCATCGCAGTAAACTCATTTGCCCTTCAGAAATCCTGGACTCGGCATCACAGGGCGTTAGCATTTTACTTTTTCCTTTGATTCACAGATTTTTCTGCGCGTTCTCCGATTTTTATCCCGAACCTCCACAAAGCAATTCTAATTTTTTCTGTGAGTTAGCCGTGCCTTGTTTGATAAGCCCATAGGATAAAAACCGAACTATAACACTTGAAACTGTTATCGGAATAGAGTACCGGAGTTATGACGTCACAAAATATTATTTTCACTGTATCATAATTTCGATCCTTGATTTCGATAGGAAATCAAGAAAGACGCGAACACGTTAAATTTCAAAAGAATTGGTTGAATATTAACAGAGATACGGCCGTTGGAATATATAATTTCCCCATACAAATCTCTGTATTTTTGCCCTGGTTCGATTACGTAAGAACCAGGGCGAAAATATAATTATTTGTTTGGGGAAATTATACATTCAAACGGCCATATCTCTGTTTCTTTTTAACCGATATTCTTAGAATTTGGCGTGTTAACGTCTTTCTTGATGTTCTATCGAAATTTAGGATCGAAAATTTTGTTTTTCGTGACGTCACACTTCGGTACTCTATAGTGTATCTAGTTAAAGTGCACATGACACGAAAAACTTTTAATGTTAAAAATGTGTATTTTATTGGCATTAATAAGAATATCACGGTTAAATTTGTT